AAAATAAAAGGTTCTTTTAGGTAAATGTTAGTTATAATTAAAAATATAAGAAGAGATGGATATTAGTGCATTAATAATTTGTCATTAAAAATATGTCAAAGTAAATATTTGTTAAGTAGTTCATTTTTTACAAAAACACTCCTTGTATTGTAATATAAATATAGATGTCCATATTATCAAGCTGAAATATAAGTAATTTCAAAGCAAAGTTCAGTTATATGATATGATATGGAACTAATTGATTTCTTATTGCCTATAGGAATTAATTAATAATAATAGTAATAGACTTGAAGGTGCAACACGTGTTTTGGTGAGCGCGTGGGGAAAGTGAAAGACCCTTACGGCAACGGGATCAAAAAACCAAATTCATATACAATGAGTATAAAATTACATATTTGACATTACAATAATGAACCTTACTGTATTATTATTATTAAGACTGTATTATTATTATTAAATTACAAAATTTATTTGATAAAGTAAGGTTAATTTAGGGAAAACATATTTTTACAGATTCATTGGCTCTTTTATAATAGTATAGATAGATAGATAGATAGATATAGATTTTTATTGATTCTTAGTTATGTTTGGTTTGCTTTGATTCGTTGAGAGGTTCTTGTTTTCTGAAGTCAGTTTGTGTGTTTCTTATTAAGATCACTTTATGAGCAAGATCAGAGTTTTAATGGGAACTTTTTTCGTTCTGTGTTTAATGAGCATGCCTGCTTAGTTGCTAGATTTCAATGTATCAGAATTGGGTTTGTGAAATACTCGACAAGATTCGATTTTTTTTCATGCGTTTCGTATTTTTCAATACATCTCTTTGTCAATGGTGGCCAGGTTAAGAAATTAGGATCAGATCTAAAATCTTGTTTATCGGCTAGTTTTTTACTTCATATTACAAATGCGAATGCTGATTCTTATTGATGAGCTTCGTGTTGGTCGTGTTATGGAATCTGAAATTTGTTGATCAGTTGGGATCATGAAATTTGTATAGAGGCAAATTTTCTTCACTACTTGTTCCTGTGTTCTGCATTTACCTTACTCATAGAAGATAGTATCAACTTATAGGCCTCCACCTTCTATAATAAATGATCTTAGAAAACTTAACAAAATTGGATTTTTAGGTTTCTAGATTTACACGTGTTCTCGATTGCTTATTGCAGGGTGAGCCGAGCTTCCATTTATACGGATTTATCATGTGTATAGGTGCAACGGCAGCAAGAGCCTTCAAATCCGTGCTTCAAGGGGTCCTCCTTTCTAATGATGGGTAAATATCAAGACTCATGCTGTAAAGACAATAAACGTCCAGATTACAATAGTTGGCAAAAAATTAACCTTAGCTGAATTTTGAAAAAGAAAATTTTATGAATTTCTTTTTGGTCCAACCTAGACTCGTCTTCTATCATCAAAATTAACGATGGATGGTTTTATGTGTGGTCGACTGCCGGGTTATACTTAATGCCCCCCTTTGTGTTTTGTAGGGAAAAGTTGAACTCAATGAATTTGATGCTGTATATGGCCCCGATTGCAGTAATCGTTTTGCTACCTGCCGGTCTTGTAATGGAGCCAAACATATGGGATTTCCTTGTTTCGCTTGGAATGGAACATAGATTCATGTGGATGCTTCTTTTCATCAATTCAACTATGGCTTTTGGAGCAAATTTGTGCCATTTCTTGGTGACTAAGTACACAAGTGCCCTAAACTATCTCTCTCTCTTTCTTGTTATATCACATTTGTTGAGATTTTAGAATTTACAATTGCACAATGGATGGATCACCAAATGATGATTGATGACACTTTTCCTAGACAAAATCTTATGTAAACTATGAATAATTACAAAACAGACCCCTGTTTTTGGTAGCCTAATGACAAAATGCTCCGGTTATCCCCTTCAAAATTACGATTGGCAAAAGAGACAACTGATGTTTCTTTTATATTATTGCTGATTCAGGTATTAGGAAATGCAAAAGGAGTAGTGGCTGTTGTTATATCGATACTCATTTTCCAAAACCTGGTTCATTTATCAGTATTGCCGGGTATACAATGACTGTCATGGGAGTGGTTGCATATGGAGAATCTAAGAGGAGATACAAATGATATTTTTTGGAGTAGTTCTTTATGAAGGAACGAGCGTTCTTGGGGGAACCGTGGGGTATTGGTTTTCGAGAGCGTTCTTCAGGTTTTCATGGTAAGGTCCAGACTCCAGAATTCAAGATATAAAAAAAGAAAAAAAAAAATCAAATCAAATCCTTGTCGTAGTGAGTTAAAAGAAACCTTATTTTTTTTTTTCCAAAAATCCATCTTTTATCTGCAACCTATTGGTTTTCCCCGTTCACCTTATTACAAAACGACCAAAGAAAATATAACTCGAAACTAAAATCTGAAAATAACATCCCTTCTGAGCCTTCAGCAAGGCAGGGTAAAAAATGCAATTAAGAAAATATCAATCAAAAAGAGTTCACACTTGTTCTGGACCATTAGGGAGCAAATCATAACCATCATGCTGCTTGGCAGCTCCACTGCTTGTGCCGACCGGTATGCACTTCAAAACAACAGCAATCGGCATGCTAACGGCACCGACCACAACACTGTACAGCCACAGCTGCCAGCTCAGCGGGACCGTGCTGGCAAAAGTGCCCAGGAACTCGACTATGATGACTTGGAACACTACTGTCGAGACGATGATCCCGATGAACACCCAGTTTCCAAACAGTCCTCGGAAAATATTTATCTTCTCCATATCACGACTGTTTATTTCGTTGAAGACCTGAAAAAAGAAAGTTCAGAATATATTAATAATCTTTCTTAGTATATTAGATCAACAATAAGAATTAATTACCTGACAGAAGACAAAGGTGTTGAATATGAAGGTATTGACTATTGCAGTAGAATCAGAACCAGTGAGCCCCAGTATTTGCTTCCCGACAAAAGTGAGGACTAGAAGAACAGCCAGCTGGTAAATGCTCTGACCAATGATGTTCCGCCACATGGTCCTCGTGATGAAGCTCTCGGTTCTCCTAACAGGAGGCCTCTGCATCAGGCCATCATGCGGTGGTTCAGTGGCTAAGGCAAGGGCACCTAATGTGTCCATGATTAGGTTCACCCAAAGCAACTGCACGGCCGTAAGTGGAGCAGCTCCTGCAAATGGCAGCCCACACATTATTGTTCTTTTTTTTTTGACGAAAAAATCTTTGTAGATAATAGGAATATTTATTCAGTGTTCGATTAATAGACTGAAGAAGTACCGGAGGCACAAGCAGATATGAAATTGATCATGAGAGCAACAATATTGACGGTTAGCTGGAACTGCACAAATTTTTGGATATTGATGTACACGGCACGTCCCCATTTTGCGACATTCACGATTGTTGCGAAATTGTCGTCCATCACAATCACATCCGCGCTTTCTTTTGCAACCTGACAAATTTTATGTGAATGATATGTCACTTTGAAAAACTGAGCCACAGACACGACAATTAAGGTAATGCTCGATTAGGTTTGTAGTGAAACCATGTACAGGACAAAGAAAATGGGACATTATCTAGACTGATTTGAATACACTCCCATTATCTAGACTGATACAACAAATAAATGTAAAATACAACTTAGTAGTAAGATGAAACAAAGAAAAGAAGATGGGTTATAAAACGAGCAAATTACCTCTGTTCCTGAAATGCCCATAGCAAGCCCAATATCCGCCTCGTGTAATGCTGGGGCATCATTTGTCCCATCACCTGTAACAGCAACTACCTCTCTAAGCACGTTTCTTGCCGTTTTTACCAGGACATGCTTGTCTGTTGGCGATGATCGTGCCATTACCTAAATTTGAAATCTTTAAGTCAGATTTTCAAAAAAGAAAGAAAGACTACATCAAATTGCCTTTATTAAGAACATACGAATAATGTATATAGCCACCTTAAGTTTCGGTATCAACTGACTCATCTCATAAGAAGTCTTGTGACGAAAATCGGGACCTTCAACAGCCAGATCGTCACCGGTAAGTATTCCACATTCTCTAGCAATGGCTTTAGCAGTATTTATATTATCGCCAGTCACCATGCGCACAATAATTCCAGCTGCTAAGCAAGTTTTAACTGCCTCCTTCACCCCAGGGCGAACCGGGTCCTTAATCCCCACCACTGCAATGAGCGTATATCCATTCTCAGGTATATTTTTCTCATCATCGACGTCCTTATAAGCCAAGCAGAGAGTTCGCAAAGCCTCATTAGCAAATTCATTGATAGTATCCGACACATTACTCACTTCTTCATCCGCCAAAGGAACAGGCTCGCCATCGGCATTTATAAACTTGTCACACGTTCTCAATATAATTTCAGATGCACCTTTGCAGAAGGCTCTCTTTCTGCCATCAGAAAGCGAAACAATCACTGACATTTTTTTCTTTTCGGAATTAAAAGGCTCGACCTTAAGTATATCGCAAGTCTGGCGTTGCTCATCGAAATCTCCGCCTAATAGCAGACCGTATTCTAGTATGGCGGTTTCTGTTGGAGTCCCCAAAATGGATCTTTTCCCATTTTTATCCTTGACGACCTCAGAACCCGTGTTGTTAAAAATTCCTTGCAGGAGAACATTAAGTACGTTTTCAGACACATCGGCATTCAATGTGTCGTGGCCTCCTGAGGTGTTTACTTCTTTTGCTTTACTGCAAATGAACACTTTACTGACCACCATATGATTCGTGGTCAACGTGCCCGTTTTGTCTGTGCAGATGCAGGTGGCAGACCCCATTGTCTCACATGCCGAAAGATGCCTGACCAGCGCCTTGTCATTCATCAATTTTTTCATGGCAAATGCCAGACTCAGAGTGACAGCCAGCGGCAGCCCTTCGGGGACAGCAACAACGATTATAGTCACAGCTGTCGCAAAGTAATTCAAAATCTTGAGTGCATCATCCGAGGACCATTTCGTAAATTCGTGATGATTTACCTTCTCGACCAGAAACCTGATAATCAGGACCAGGAAAGTCAAGACAGCAAAAAGTAGCCCGATTTTTCCGATTATTGTCGCAACACCGTTTAACTTCACCTGCAGGGGGGTCTCATCCTCACCCCCTTCGCTCAGCGTCTCCATTAACTTTCCCCATTCGGTCCTCATGCCAACAGTGGTCACGAGCATTTTAGCCGACCCGTCCTGAACTTTCGTTCCTGCCAAAAGGAAAGGCCTCTTTTCGTAAATATTAATGGGCACACTCTCGCCGGTCAAGCTCGACTGGTCGATCAGCAAGTTGTAGCCCGATACAAAAATCCCATCGGCCGGGACCTGGTCGCCAATGGATAAATGGACGACATCCCCAACAACCAGGTCGTATATCGAGACCTTCTGGCGGGTCCCGTCTCTAACAACCTGGACAAAAATCTTCTTCTTTTCCCTGTCCAGCTCCTTGAACTGCAGGGACTGCCTGTAGTCACTGACTGCCGTAACCATCACAACTAAAAATATACTGAGTATAATCCCAAGCCCGTCATACATGCCTTTGGGCCAGCCCTCAGTGGCAATACCAACAGCAATGGAGACCAATGCACAGACAATTAGTATGATAAGGGTCAAGTCATGAAGGGCTTCCCAGACGAACATCCAAAAGCTCTTGGGAGGCTTCTCGGTGTACTGGTTGGGCCCAAACACGTTTTTTCGGCTGGGAACATCACTCGGGTTCACGCCTTTGTCTAGAGAGACATTTAATCTCTCGGCAAGTCCCTCGACTCCCTCGAGTTTCCTCAGTGTCTTGATGTCATAGGATGAAACTATCGACGCGAGTTTGTCCGGGTGGATTTGGAAGCCGGCGACACAGGCTTCTTCTGGAAGCCCGTTTTCGACATTGGTTTCTCCATCCGGTCCTTGGTGTTTGACCGAGTCCTCCGAGTGTGAGGTTTTGTTGTGTGCGCCTACTGTGAAAGGAAACATTAGTCATTTGACAATTAATATGTGATGTAATGTGACCAAATTTACATAGATGAGTAGGAATATACCATCTATAAACCTGAGAGCTGCTGTGTATGCCACAAAACAAACTCGTATATTTTCCTGAAAATGAACATTATATTAGACAACACAAAGAAAGCTAGAAGCAACTATTAAGACACCAAAGTAGAACAAAACAACAAAAATGAAAATGGTCAATAAAATGGAAAATTTTAAATATTGTGCCTACTACAAAAGGTATAAGGAAGAGTAAAGCAAACAAATGCAATCAAAATTACATGCCGTACATATTACTACACAAGTAAATTTGATTCAACTTTTGTGTGATGTTTAAATTTGATCGATTGATCGGACATGGGTCCACTCGGCTGCACAAAATTAATATGTCCAAAACCAACTACAATGTATTTCAGAACCCGGCGAAGGCCTATTAATTGATATCATTTTTGGGAGAAACAAACAAACACATACGTCCTCGTTAGAAAGCAGTACTAATGATATGTTCATGGGATATTCTTAGAAATGCTTTCGTCACTTACACGCATTTATCACATACTCATTACACTCTGTATTGCAATAGGAAACATGTATTCTAACTTTCACTTCACTCTGGAAGAGGAAAAAAAGAAGAAAAACCATGTACAGTGTATATATACACATAAACTAAAAAGTTATATAGTGTTCATTTATAACGTAATATATGAACACAAATTAAATTAAAACTAAAATGTTGAGGAATGTACTAATCCTATAGCATGCTCAAGGCATGCACCTAATCCTATAGGAGGTGAAGAAACTCGATGCAGTCCAATCGGATAGGATGCCGCCAAGCTCGCCAGATGATCAGCCGCGAGCAGTAATTTTACAATATGATTATTTTTAATGAAAAAGGGTATATTTACAAAAAATAATATATTGGCGTAATAATTAGGCTAGCCTAAATCCTAATGCAAAACCTAAAAAACCTTTATTGTGTTCCCGTGAACAGTCAAAAGCGCGTTCAACCGCCACAATTGAAAATATCAAAAACAAAGGGAAAGCCTGTTTGTTACACTACTGAACTAACGTCTTTCTATATTTGGATGTCAATATCAGATGGTCAACACACAACCAATAGTCCAATACTATCACTTCCCTCAAATTTTAATATTACCCCGTCAGAAGCCGTAAATTACGTATAAACCCTGTAAGGTCTCTGTTCTTGCTCTTGGGAATTTAATTAAATATTATATTACTAACAAAATAAAATAAAATAAAATAAAATAAAAACATTTTTTTTTTCTTAAGCAAATATTAGCAATTTTTAATTAGTAAAAAAAAATTTAACATTAATAAGATATTTATCAGAACAAAAATCTGTTGTTCTGCAGGATCCGAAAAATCGGAAATACTCGTCGGAAACATGAAAAGAGCAGCCGTAACAGATCGCCGGCAAAAAAAACGAGCACCGGCGGAAAGCAAATCTGATAAGATCTCACGGATTGCAGAATTTAAAAAATAACAAAATGAATATGACAGGGAAAAAGGAGCAAGGACTGAGCGTACCCTGAGCCTCCTCATCTGCTCCTTCGCTACGGATCGCATCTCGAGATCGGCGGCGTAGCGGAACCTACGGCGTCGATTCAGCACCAGCTTCCCGACAGCCTCTCGCCACCTCCTCAGAGCCTCCTCCGACCGCCCCTTGTGCGGCAAATCGAACTCCGGCGGGATGAACTTCTCCATATCTAACTACTCCGACTAAAACGCGCACACACAAACACTATCTCTCTCCACCTCTCTCCCCCTCCGCCACGGCACCGCCGCGAGTCACTGGTAACTGATAAGGTTTATCTTCAGTACTGGGCGCATACGGAGTTGTACGTTTGCGCGCACATAATGTGTGGGGACTGCAAGAAGGAGAGTGTTAATGGGAGCAGAGGCAGAAACCAATGGGAAAGCCTTCTAATGTTTATCTGTATCTATAAAATCTAAATTTCACATCGCTCCCGTGATTTTTAGTAATTTCTATTTTGATCCTCAGTTATAGCCACATGGGAATGCAATTCTTTCTGGTATTTATGGTAATTATAATTCATTTTAGGTTGACTCTCGGTTGTAGCCACATAGCAATAATGCAAAATTTTCTGATATTTATGGTAATTATAATTCATTTTAGGTTGACTGATTCAAATTTGCAATAGATTGCCACAAAAAAATACTACTATAATTGTTTACAAAAATATTAACTTAAATAAGGAACCAAATTACAAAAAGATTTTATGATAACTAAATCAAAATAATAGAAAATGTTACAGTTCCGTTACGGACCACTCCGTCGGGGTTTGTAAACGTTAGATCAACTATCCCTAACGCTTACATGATGATCTAACGGTTACAACCCCTGACGTAATGGTTCCGTAACATGACTATAACATCTCGCCAAAATAATATTGGTTTTTATAGTATGAGATTATTGCAGTAGTCAAGTTTTCCTAATTATGATAACAAAAGGCAGTGATTTTTAAAATTGAAGACGTATTAAGATTTTTAAATTTAAAAGGACACCTTATTAGCAATTTCATGTCTAAAGTTGGGATCTGGTATTTATATTTTATTTTCGAAATCTCAATAAATTTTAAAAAGTCCATACAAACCAAGTGATAAGTATTTACGGAATACTTCATAATAACTTTTTAAATTTTTTTAAAATTCCATATGAATGTCCTGTGAGTTTTTAGGATGTTTGAAATCTATATATATATAAAGAGGGAGTTGATGGATTGATGTTACTAATGATAGCAGTAAATGCTTCTTTTAGAAATGGTATCAACAATATTTTTAGAAATAAATATATAATTAGTATGTTTACCTTTTAGATTTAATAAATCATTCATGATAATTAGTTAACAATTTTTTTTGGAAATAAATATATAATTAGTATGTTTGCCTTTTAGATTTAATAAATCATTCATGATAATTAGTTAACAATTTAATATGTAATAAGTATTTTCTATGACTTGATTTTTAGAAATAAATTTATAATTAGTATGTCTGCCCTTTTGATTTACTAAATCATTCATGATAATTAGTTCTCAATTTAATATATAATAAGTATTTTCTGACTTAAAAGACAATATTAATTAATTACTGACATATTTAGTGATTGAATTAAATGATATAATACATATTAGTGCCTATGCATAATATAAATATCATGAAAATTGGTGCCTACGCATAAAATAATTATTATGAGGCTTATGATTCAACCTGATTCAAATTTCAAGAAGTGCCTATGCATAATATAATTATTACGCCGTGCAATTATTCAGCCTGATTCAATTTTCAATTAGTGTCGCCTATGCGTAATATAATTATTATATTTGAAGTTTTTAAAAGCTATTAAATTGGGAATTTTAAGTAAACATGCTATATAAAAATAATCTTAAATTTTAGTTTCAATTTTTCTAAAAATAAAAATCAATATAATTATGAGAATCATTCAGTATGAAAATATAAAAAATAAAATTTAATATGACTTTTCACCATATATTTAAT